GGGATTTTGGAAATAAAACTCTTAAGAACTGCGACATGAGAGTACAAGATACGATTTGTTCATTCTGGCTTCTCATCCTTCCCAAATTGCCTTATCCTTACATAAGACCAAACTGCATGTCAAAATGGTAGTTAGCAATACTGTGTCCTCTACAAATAAGGATAATTATTACGGTGGGTTGGTACAGACTCAGAACTGCAGATGTAGCAAAGAATTATTCCACAAAAATGGGGTTGGAAGACTTGGATATACCAGAACTGCTAACTGAGTATTCCAGGGCCTGAGATATTTAACAGAAAACCAAAGAAGACTCCGTTAATGCTATGCATGACTGAAGTTGTACAAGAGTTTATAGGTTTAGAATATTCCCTACTAAATTTGCTAGTTGTTTCATTATTCTGTTCCCTTTGGACATCGAGAGAATTTTTGAAAGCTCACCTAACTGAAAATAATGAAAATGCTTTTTATCTGTTCATACTTCAGTGCTGTTAGAAATACAGTTATATTGGTCATTTGGGATCCAACACTGCAAGATGTTGAGTTCCCTCAACTTCCATTGAATCCAGTGGGCCTTGGAGGCCTCTCGTACTTCATAGGAGATATGTGTCCCTTTGCAAGATTAGGCTCTATGGCTATGTCTACACTGGCCACAATTTCCGGAAAAGCCATGCAAATCAGGTAAGTCAGGATAGGGAAATCCGCGGGGGATTTAAATATCCCCCGCGGATTTAAATAAACATGTCCGCTGCTTTTTTCCCGGCTTGGGGAATAGCCGGAAAAAAAGTGTCTAGACTGGCTTCAAAGTAGGAATAAGAGATCCTCCGGAAAAGGGCTTTATTCTGGAGAATCGCGCCAGTCTAGACGCTTTTTTTCCGGCTTTTCCCCAAGCCGGAAAAAAAGCGGCAGACATGTTTATTTAAATCCGCGGGGGATATTTAAATCCCCTGCAGATTTCCCTATCCTGACTTACCTGATTTGCATGGCTTTTCCGGAAATTGTGGCCAGTGTAGACGTAGCCTATATGTTTGAGAGTCTTGAAGGCAACTCTGCCTCCTCACAGAACCTGTGAGGACAATTTCTGGGAAAGATTGCGTCTGTGCCAGGCCTACTCAAAGTGTGAGGTGTTCTGACATAGCTATCACTTTACATGCCATCATCTAAAAGATCTGCTCTACGAATTAAGTTGGGGAAATTCTATAGCCTGCTGAATTGATCTGAATTGATCACAATGGTCCCTTCTGGCTTTGGAAATCTGCAAATAACCTGAGAAACATATTGATAGATTAATATGGGTAAGAAACCTTTGTCGTGCTGGCTGCACACAGTTCACCAGGGTCAGCCCCTGGCAGGCCACCAGAAACTTTATTTACATGAACATGATCTGCAGGCAGCGCTGCTCACAGTTCCCCGTCGCCTGGCCTGCGCTGCTTCCTGCAACTCCCAAATGACCAGGAACAGTGAACCGTGGCCACTGGGAGCTGCGAGTGGTGGTGTCTACGGACGCTGGTTGAGGTCAACAAAGCATCTGGCGACCCACCAGTGGCTAACCCTGGTGAACCACATCTGGCCCAGCAGCCAGAGATCCCCTACCCCTGAATTAACAGTTTGTACATGATACTTAGATTTCAATAATAATTTATGCATGTGCTACAAGTGCAAAATGGGAGGGTGGAAATCTGCATATGGCCCACAGGCTAATCCTGAGAGAAGGACTCTCTTGCAAGAAGACAGTTTGCTTGATGATCTCTTCATGACTTGATTCAAAACCCAGTGAAGTCAATGGGAATTTTTCCCTTACAGGAAGTATTTAGTGTTTTTCACACCCCAGGTGAGAGCTGGTTCTCAGATCCTTATGAATGGAAAATATAATTTTGTAAGAATGTCTGTGCAAAGAGTCCTGTTATGTATACTGGGATTTATAACAGAACTGGTTTAAAATTTGTACAAAGAGAAATTAAATAGTTGTTCAAAGAGGATAAGCTATTCGTTAGCTCCAGGATGGTTAAGAAAATAATTAGTTGAACATATTTTTTATTTGCCACTAAAAACAAAATCATTTTAACTGAACTTAATAATTTTTTACCAGAAAATATTTTACTTAATGTATGAATTCAGCAAGTCCCTGCCATGCTCGGGGGGGCAAAAGGGACAGAACAGAAGACAGTCTGTGGCAAACCAGCAGAGCTGGGTTTCTGTGTGGTTTGAGTAGGAGTGTGGAAGGCATAGGAGGGCCGCATTGTTCCCAACACAAAACCACTAGATGTGTTACAAAAAAAAGGCATATAACTAAATGAAAGCACTCTGAGCAACCTTCTTGTTCTAGCAGCTCTGACTGCTGATACTGGCATCTTTAGCCAGCGTCTTAATTCCTCGTTGAGCAAACACCAGCAAGCATGATTGTGGGTGCAGAGCTACTGATAGATGGTACATACACTTACACCTTTGTCCTCTTGTTTTCTCTACATATCCTCTGGTTGCTCTGGAACAGATTGAAGCACTGCAATGCATACGCTGATGATATAACTTTGGGTACACTGGTTATCTGAATAAATGCGATAAATCAATCTCTGTGCACTCTCCCGTTGATGCTGGTACTCCACCAGGTTGAGAAGAGTAGGTAGGCAGTATTGATAGGAGAGCAGTCCCCACTGACTTTACCACACACAAGACGCTGCAGTAAGTATTAAGGATGTTAAGTATTGGGTAATTGACTCATTGAATAGTCAATGCATTTTTGCATTGACTATTTGATTAGTCGATAGAGCGCCTCCTCCTTTGAAGTGTAGCAACAGCCCAAGAGAATCCCTTATCCTGTTCGTTTATCCCTATTCCCTAGGGCTGTTGCTGCACTTCAAAGGTGAAAGCGCCACATGGAGCCCGGGTAAAGGTGGGGACTCACTCACCCTGGACTCCGTGCGGTGCTGCCGCTTTGATACACGGTGGCAGAGTTTCAAAGCAGCAGCGCCTCATGGAGCCTGGGGTCAGCTGGGCAGTCCCCAGCTGATTCCGGGCTCCACTCAACACTGCCGCTTTGAAATACCGCACAGAGCCCAGGGTCAGCTGGGGAATCCCCAGCAGATCTGGGCTCCCCAGTGTTTCAAAGCGGCAGCGTACATGGAACTCGGGATCAGCTGAGGAGTCAGCAGCAGTGCTGCTGCTTTGAAGATCTCTTCTCTTCCCCTTGCTTGCCTCTAGCTAGTAGAGGCAGCAAATGGGGGGAAGTGACTAGTCGACTATCCTGTTGACTCTCCAATAAGCATTTGCTTATCAGATAGTCGACTAGTCTTTCACATCCCTAGTAAGTATGTTGACTTCAGTACTTGCATAGCTGAAGTCATGTAAATCAGATTGATGATGAGGGCTAGTGTAGAATAAGTCTTAACGACACTCCTAGCTTTTAGACGTTATCTCTGGGATTCTTATTGTCCTCCTACTCTGGATACAAAAACTAGATTCAATTCCAATAATATGGAAACAAAACAGCCAAATTATTTTATGATATTTCACATGCAGAACACTGGTTAACCCAGAAGGTTTTGTAATCTTGGGGATTCCCAACTTGCACAACTTTTTTCTAGAAATAGCCTCATTCCACTCAATGTCAATAGGACTTTCCTCATTTGAGTAAAGGGTGTAGAACTGGGCCGTTAGCAAGCTATCACCAAACATGATGCTAATTCTCCATTTTTAACTAAGGAAGGATTATCTTTCTCCCAAAGCATTATGGGTATTATTAATGAATTTTAAAAAGTGAAGATAAATTAAACTTAGCTATAGCAGATTCTGGCCATGTGTCAGAAGAATTATTTTGTGTGATCAGACGGCTGCTCTATTAATCCCTGTCGTGCCAGAGCTTTTGCAGAACAAGAGGCTGTGTTGCAATGCAGTTAAACTTTGGGAGTCAGGCAAAAGCAATTGTATTCTGAGCTCTGCCCTGATTTAGTAGATGACCTTGGCAAAGCTGTTGGCCCTCTCCCTCTGCGGACATTGATACCTACCCTGATTAAGGTGCGTTGAGATGTGAGGGGGGAAATGGCTCTGTCACTGTTATTGATACTTGCAGATTTTTAGTGTCTCCTTCCCTCTGGCAATGATAGGTTTGCTCTGTGAGCATGACAGATTTTAAACATCCTCATTTTTTAAACTCTTCCCCATCCCCATTGACCCAGAAACATGGGCCTGAGGAATTTGGGAATAAGATAATCAGACCTGGCATGCCAAAGGATTAAATTTCATGATAATTATGTGTGAGCTGGTGGAGTTGTAACCCGAGTGTTATTTATAAATAGGGTGCATGTAATTCTTATCCTATAAAAATCCCCAATCTTTAAAACTCATTATGACACTTCAAAAACAAACAAAAAGACTGGGGCAGAGCCAGCAGCCCTTTGCCCAGGCAATTCTCAGTGTGGGAATGGAAGGGGCCATAAAGGCATCTGCCTAAGTTCAAGTTCAGCCTCTAATGTCAAGGCTTGGCCTTCACCTCTGGATTCATGGCTTGGCCTGGAGGGTTTGCCTCTAGTGTCCTGTCAGCTGCAGCCATGGGGAATTGCCTATTTAAGTGCTGGGTGAAAGGCCACTTCTGATTGGAGGCAAGCTGATTAATGATCTAAGACCTCCTGTGATTGGCTGGGAAGGGAACACAGCCATAGCCTTATCAGCTGAGCAAACCAAGGAGTCTGTTGCTGGGTAACACTGTACACAGAGTCCAACTTATTCCTTGTGCCCTGGGCTGAGGAGGCTCCCAGCTGCCCTGGCTCTCCTTTGCTTCCTATAGACACTCTCCAACCGTATAAGAACACTCCATGGATCAGGAATAAGCTTCTGAGCTGGGTTTGTTTAGCCTCTGCTAGTAAGCATTCACCAGCTCTGCGTGGGGCTTTTAGTTCTGACTGACCTATTTAGATTTCAGCTCAAGGGCCATCAGCCTCTTTAAACGCCAGGCGAACCCTTTAGAAATGATGTGTACAAGCCACTAACTGCAGTGGCAGGGACCACTAACTGCAGTGGCAGGAATTGGAGGGGGAGGATTTACTGTCCTTTTGCAAGACGACAGCCTCTGTGAAGCAAGAACAATATTGCAAAGGAAGGGGCGAGAGAAAGCGTCCTGCGTGAGTTCTATTATTGCTATGCACTCCCGCGCTTACTTGTTGTTGGAAAGAGAGTATCTGGAGTATAAAGAAGCCAATATTTTTGTGAGTAGTATCTTTATTCATTTTCAATAGCTGAGCCGGGGGATAACCAATTAACATACAACTGACATCTTTTTTACATCCTCAGCCTGGCTTTCCCCCTTTTTGTATTAGCATCCCTTCCCGCACGCTTTCTCAACCAAAGAATTAAAACTGCAAAATTATGTACTGAGTATGTACCTAGAGTCTTGGGCAGCATTGCACTTGGGCAGCAGCTAGTCCCACCCACTGCACCACTGCAGCTGCATTTTTATTTTTAACAAAGTAGCCTGATCAGATATGGCTAGTAGAGCTAGTAGACCTTTCAGCTCCAGTGTAGAGCTATAATTTTTGGATGATGGTGGTTGGGTTTTGGGAAGCAAATGGGTTGAGTTATTTTAATCCTGCTATCTTTAATTTTCAAAGTTAATTCCACAGATCATCAGGCTTAATTTAATGAAATAGAACTCAACTTGGTTTCATAGTAGTGGACCTTTATTCTTTGGGTATTTCACCAGTGAACAGCTGAAGTGTGATAAGAATCCAACTGGAATCCCCATAGGAATTGCAATCCCCATAAGTAGGCAAAAATCCCACTGACGTGGTTATCTTCACATTGATTTTTAAGTGCTTTTATTGGTGCTTCTCCAGAGGAGAACCCTTACGGGAACATTGCAAAGGAATTTTGGTGACCGAGTCAGTATGGCAAGTGAGCTACTCAACAAAAATGTAAAACAAAATATTTGTGTGGACTGGCTGGCTCTGGCACTGATGATTAATATGTATGGTCATTTGCCTTTAAGTAGACAATTCAAATCTAGTGCTAGTTGCTGATGCCTGGCAATGATCTCTTCATAAAAATATCGTCTACTATAGCAATATGCTGTATTCCCTTCCCCAAAGCCAAGTTAAAAAGGACCGTGGCCACATGAAATATAAATGCTTACTTTGTTGTTAGATTTGATAACAATCCTTCATGTTTATATATAATACTAGAAGACTTACCTGGCATTGCCCAAGTCTGTCAAGGCAGGCAGCTGGCTGGCACTGTGGGCAGTGCAGGAGTCAGGGCAGAGCCTTGCAAGAGGCTGGGGGCAAGGTGTATGTGCAAGAGTAAGGGTTGGAGGGAGGGAGGGGCTCAGGGCGGAGGATCCCATGCAGCATGGGCCTTTTTTTGTCGTCATCCCCCAAACCAACCCCCCTCAGCCACCAGGGGCCTTTTTTCTCCCCCCATGTCAGTTCTCCAACAAAGGCCCGGGAAGGGGGGAAAGGGTTTGGGGCAGGGAGGCTACTTACCTGGTGTGCTGGCAGGCAGGAGCCCCAGTCCTGTTGGCAACTCCCTTGGAAGCACAGCTGCCCCAGTGGACACACTGCAGGAAAGCTCTTCTCTGCGGGCTCACTGCCCCCAGTGACTACTCTCATTATCGTGTCCCTCCAAATAGCCCCGCCCTTTCTGTGTCGTGGAAAACAGTCTCTTTCCCAGCACTTCCAATTGTCCTAGTGCAACCAACCACTGACCTTGCTTTAGGTTAGGATAAGAGGAAGCTGCATACCAAATTTAGTGGTCCTAGTTCTTACCATTTAGGAGGCGTTCTTGAACAAACAGACTCACGAACAAACAGACTCACAGACAAACACATAAACAGACGCACAGATACACACATTTTCATGAATCCAAATGTCTCAAAGTGCTTTAGAAATATGAATTAACTAATTTTCATAATTCTTAATTTTAACTAACAAGGTAAGCAAGTTTTTAAGGGAACATTGCAAGTTCTTCACATTCCACACTGTACCTTCTTTTTGTGCCTTTTTTAGGGAATCTTTGCTACTCCGATAAAGGATAATTTGCTGGAATGGCTAGTCGAAGTCCAGGGATTAAAGGATTCTCTCTGGGAAGGTAGCAAAGATTTTTACCATGCCCTTTGATTTTATAGGTGTTGTGTGTTATCCTTCCATCCTGCTGGATATTTTTAAAAATGATGCTGTGAACTGTTTTAAGAAAGCATAAAGAACTTGACTAGCTTTTCATTATTAGCTGCATATAATGTTCCCCTAAACTTTTCCATCCGTGTGTGGAATAATTTTTTTATGTGCATGTGTGAATGTGGATCACCAGTGGAAACACAAACCTCGCTGTGGATGCTCTGCTCATCAGCCAGACAGCATTAGAATTTCTCCTAAGCATCCGCACAAGTGAATGGCTTAGGAGGAATGCTGGTGCATGTTAGTTTTCAGTGCTCCTCCAGTAGCATGTGAGCGGGGATTGCATTAGCATATTGTAAATCGTTTGTTGTTATTCAATGTACAACTACAGGAGAGACCCTCGGGATTTGCAGAATTGCTATTCGCAGTTCTGTATATTAGCAGGTGTCTACTGTCCCAGCCTGGGGAGGCATGTGGGGAACTCGCTGTGACTCACGGCCCCCATGGGGAACTCACTGTAGCTTCTGGGAGCTGTGGGAAGCTCACTGCAGCTGCCAGGATCCATTGTAGGTTCCCCACAGATCCTGGCAGCTATGGTGAGTTCTCAGTGGCTCCTGGACCTGGGGTGAGTTCAGCTGCTAAGGGGAGCTCCTGTGGGAGCTGGGAGCCATGGCTCCCAGTAGTCGCAAATTTTGCAATTCATGATGGTGCCAGGAACGCTTCCACCGTGAATGGTGAGGGTTTTCCTATATTTTGCAAAATAAGTGATGGGATTTTCATAGGGAGCATGTAATTTCAAATCAATGAGAATGATGTGTCAGGAAATCACTACCACCTGTTTTTCTGCTAAATGACAGTCAACCATCTATAGACAGAATAAGTACTGACCAAACGTTGTTATGCTCTGGTAGCAGTTTGGTGGTCACTGTCCTGTCCTATTAAACAGAATGTGCTAATAAACATAACAAACCAAAAAAGCCTACTGTGTTTGGCCCTGACTTCCTTTAAGGCTGTTGATAGAAGGCTCAGGCTTACAATATGCTGAGCTCCTCCAGCTTCTTCTGATCATGTTCTACTTTATAGGGGTGCCCAGGACCTTACAAAATAGAGCCGAGAATAAAGGAGGAGTCTGACCTGTTGATGGGAGATGTTGATGGGAGAATCTTACCCTGTGTCAGAATTGGATTGGAGTAATAATGAGCCGTAGACACACCATGACATAGGGCTCCCTGTAACTTCAGTCCCACAATTTGTCCCTCCCCCCTTCAAAGAGCAAAGAAGGGTTGCAACTCTCCCTCCTTTTCTCCCCAGGAGAAGCAGCCAGGGACCCTCAACTTACCACTGGTAGCAGGGTATCCTCAGAACTCAGTGACTCCATCAAGCACTTCCCACTTCGCAGGCTGTCTGCTGCTTATGGTCAGCTCATGTTTTTAAGGGTTTCCTTGCAACCTTTTGAAGAGTAGAAACGTATTGCTTTTAACAAATGAAAGCTGAATCCGGGATGTAATCATGAGTCCAGTAACTGGGACTCTAGGCATAGGTTTAAAGTGATTCTACTATACTTCAACCCTACTGTGTCCTGGGACAGCCAATACCTGCTCTGTGAATTGATTTAGCCATGCAGACCTGTTAATCTGAAAGTCTTCGATGGCACTAAATTCAATTGATGCTGATAATCTGGCAATCCAGGAAGTATATGTATAATTAGGGATAGTTTAAATAAGCATTTTTAATCTAATATGAAACACCCTGATTCACTTGATATTTTCCAGAATTTGTTAACATTAGCACAAGGGCTATGTCTAGACTGGCATAATTTTCCGCAAATGCTTTTAACAGAAAAGTTTTCCGTTAAAAGCATTTGTGGAAAAGAGCGTCTAGATTGGCACGGACGCTTTTCCGCGAAAGCACTTTTTGCGGAAAAGCGTCAGTGCCAATCTAGATGTGGTTTTGCGCAAGAAAGCCCCAATCGCCATTTTCACGATTGGGGCTTTTTTGTGCAAAACAATACCACGTTGTCTACACTGGCCCTCTTGCGCAAAAGCATTTGCGCAAGAGGGTTTTTGCCCGAACGGGAGCAGCATAGTATTTCCGCAAGAGCACTGACAATCTTTCATGAGATCGTTAGTGTTCTTGAAGAAATTCAAGCCGCCAGTGTAGACAGCTGGCAAGTTTTTCCGCAAAAGCAATTGCTTTTGCGGAAAAACTTGCCAGTCTAGACGCAGCCATGGATTACAACTTTATACAACAGAATGAAAACCCTTTAATAGCAAAGCCTTCTTTGGACAAATGTAATACAGTTGTGCTTTTAAATACAGATAGTACTGTAATACAATATCTTTCTCTGCAATAGGGGCTGTTCTCCAGCTGTCAATAAAATACACTCAAGAATACAATAGTGTCCCTCCAACCATTACGTTCAACACCATTCCGTTCCATCCCAATGGTAAGGACCATGTGAAAAATTGTCTGATTGTGTAGTTAGATATTTCAGATATTTTGTGTACCTTGACTTTTATTTCCCTGAACTGTCATTACTCCAATAGAATCCTAGTTCCAATCCCCCCAAAAACTCTGTGCAGTTTTCAGGCAGGGGATTCATAAACCATGTCCAAACCATGCATTTAAATACTCAGATTGTCCCAGAGGTGCATCAATCTCTATTTTTATGTCTGAATGCCCAAATGCAGAATTCGTTGATTAAATACAGGATTTGGGTCTTAGCACAACTTGCATATTTGAAAAGCAGCCTCTCTCTGGGCCACTACGTGTCCAGCAGGTCCATGTAAGCACATGTCCCTTCCTAAATAGAAAAGTCACCGCTAGTCAAGGAGAAGTTCCTGTTTCTCCTGTGTCCTGCATAACTTCCCAACCTGCACAAAGTGAACTCTAAGAAGGAAGTCTGCATAGCCAAGGCTGTGTTAATACAAGCCTGGCAGACAGAGAGGATGATAGGTCACACTCACTCAGCATTACAGTGCCTAGCCAGTACCTAGCTTTTAAAATCTCCCTATCCAGTCCTATTGTAAGACAGCACATCATTCTTACTAGAACAGGTCCCCTTCATCGCACTGACAGGCTGGCTCTTCATCTGGTTTTGGGGCCATCTCTGGCGTGCTCTCTGCCTCAGGGTCTGGTCTACCAATGAGGTCTTGGCTGTCTAGAGAAACAGCCTCCTAGATATATCTGTGGTCATTTTTTGCATCTTAAATTCCAATCCTATGCTAGGATTCATGGGTAGAGCCCTCACCAAAAATCCAGTATAGCTCCTCAAAATAAGGGCAGGTACTGAGAGCACTATCTGTTTGTGTCCCTAGCGGTGCTGTAATTCTGCTGGAGCTCCTTTGTTTTTGTACAACACTGGGCTTTGCCCTGAGAGTGCCTATTCTCCCACTCTTGCTCCGAGGACCACTTGTAAATCAGTATAAAACAGTTACTGCTGTTAAAATGGGAGGTTCAGGACCTCTAGACAGGCCCACTCAGCAGCATAGTGCCTGGCTGCCATAACGGGGATGTGACTCTGGGAATTTGCCACCAGCTGACCCAGAAGCAGTAGAGACACATAGGTAAGCAGATGTGAAGCAATGCAACGTGCGATGGCAGTGGAAGGACTGCTGGAAGTGGTAGATTTTATTCAAAATCAAGATGTGTCAACACAAACATTATACTACAGGCAGTCCCCGGGTTACGTACAAGATAGGGACTGTGGGTTTGTTCTTAAGTTGAATTTGTATGTAAGTCGGAACTGGCGTCCAGATTCAGCCGCTGCTGAAACTGACCAGTGGCTGACTATAGGAAGCCTGAGGCAGAGTTGCTCTGCCCTGGGCTTCCTGGAATCAGCCGCTGATCAGTTTCAACAGCAGCTGAATTTGGACACCTGGGACAGAGCAGCTGAGGCGCTGCCGGGTAGGTCCCCGCAGCGCCGCACCTCAGCACTGCGGGGACCAACCCGGCAGCACCCCAGCTGCTCTATCCCAGGCGTCCCCAAGTCAGCCGCTGTTGAAACTGATCAGCGGGTGGTTC